TCCCATATAATTGACTGTGACACCTCTCCTGTATCGTTTAACTCCATATATTGTTTGATTTCTTCGTTAATTTTCTTCTTTAATTTAGGATCATTCATAATACTAGAGTTTAATTTCCATAACACTTTCTGGGCTTTCTTTCCTAAGGAGATTGTGAGAGAAATTGGGCTGTGGTCTGAAAAGTCTATTGATTTAATTCTACTGTCTTTTATTCTAACTTTGTCAGCACTAAACATAAAGAAGTAATCTATTATTCAATAACTAGAATGCGGACAAGACTAGTGAGTGTATTCGCTACTCCTAGGATATAATTCCCTCCAAACATCCATGATACCGAGCTCTTGCATCAGAAATTTTATCCTTTTTGTTAATGCATTTTCTGGAAGATTCCTTCCTGATGTATCTAATTTGGGTTTCAGTCTAATGTTGAACGTCCCAGTGGCTTTTATTCCCCAAAATACATTATGGCAAAGACTGATTCATCCCAAAGATCCAGTCCCCCAGCACAAACAGAGTAATATTGTGTAGCGTACACAAAGAGAGTTCAGTGTCAGGAGGGCTGTGATCAGTCTTACATAGGGGAAACTAAACAGCCACTGGCCAAAAGGATGGCCCAGAACTGAAGATCAACATCATCAGCTCAGGACTCTGCGGTCTACACTCATTTCCAGGCCAACGGTCACTCTTTCAGGGATGAAGATGTTCACATCCTGGACAGAGAGGAATGATGGTTTGAGAGAGGAGTAAAGGAGGCCATCTTTGTGAAAAGAAATTGTCCATCATTAAACAGGGGTGGAGGCCTCTGGGTTCAACGGTCCCCCTCTTACAATGCTGTTATTGCTAGTATCACTCAACCCCCTGTGAATAGTAAACAGCCATCAGTGTGCTAATGACCCATTGTTAGGCTGATGGTCCTTCTTGACCATGTGAGCAGCTGGTTTTGGTTGTCAGCAGCAAACTGGTTGATCCACTCTGAGAAGGTGCTATTTAAGAGACTGAGCTGAATACAGCACCTCAGACTGAGGAAGTCTTTCGGATGAGAGACGAAATGTTTCTACATTTTTTTTTTTTTGATTTTTTTTTTTTTTTGAATGTCCAGAGGACCAGATTGAACTTATTTGGATCTTTTTTTTATTGTTAGCATATCTATTAGCACCTCTTCAATGTTTTGCCGTTTCTCCTGTTTCCACAATCCTTCCTTCTGCCTCATCCAGTCTCAAGTTAATTTTTGTAATTTCGCCTTGAATTGTTTCAAGCCTTTTGTTATTATCTTGGCTAAATTCTCGTAGTTCCCTGAGAATAAGAGTCATAATCACCATTTCTTCTCCCCCTTCGGTTAGTCTAATAGCAGCAGGGCTAGTGCTCATTTCATAATGCAGCACTTTGCGGTCTTTAGATGTATTGGGATCAGATTTTTTGCTTCTCTGTTTCGAAGCCATCTTTCCCCTTCTAGAGTATCTCAGCTTAGATATTTTGATCTCATTTGTTAACTTTTCAGGGAAATTTCTTTCGTTTCGGTTTAGAGATTCAACTCTACCATGTCATCCCTTGATGACCCAGAAGTAATCCTACCCTTCTAGTTTTCTAATGTACAACTGACGGTAGCTGCATTTCTAACTTATTTCTACCAATATACCGGTACCCACTGTCCCTCTTCAGCACATGTCCAAATCATCTCTGTCTGGCCTCTCTAACTTATTCTCACAGGCATTTAGCCTGTGCTGTACCTTTGATGAACTCATTCCTAATTGTGTCCATTCAAAGATAACATAAATATCTTCAGCTCTGCCACTTCTAGTTCTTTTTTTCTGTCTGGACTCTGTTCTTCACCTCTTTACCACATTCCCCATTTTCCTGGAAAAATTACCCTGTGTACTTTGTCCTGCACCTTTGTTACCTCTGCTCCTTGTAGCCTCACTGTTCCACATGCCTCCCCAGATGTCTTCAACGTCACAGTTAACTCCCTCGGTACCCTGTCATATGCTTTTTCTAAATCCACAAATACGCCGTGAAGTTTTTTTCTGACCCTCTCTCTACTTATCTATCAGCTTCCTCAAAACAAATATGGCTCCTTTGGCATACTTTTTTTGTCATGAAACCATACTGCTACTCACAAGTACTCACCTCTTGTTTTAAGTCTAAAGTCCCCAGTATACTGCCGCGTACATCTATACGCAGAGGTACGTACGTACGTACGCAGAGGTACGTGCGTACCCCGTAGCGTACCCTCCATGCAAAGCTCAAATTTTTACGACCGCATACGCGTACGCGGTGTCGCACAATAAACTGCCCAGTGACGGACTGTTTTGTATATGACACCAATGTATTAAATTCCCCTTCTTCATCCCTGATCTGGCCTTTTCTTTTGTTTTTTGTTTTTTGCCAAGAGGCAGTGATCTCTTCCTCCTCCGTTGATGCCATGACTGAAATGGTGTGAAATGGAGGAATTTGTCACGAGCGAATTAAACTCAGGTCCAGCGTGGCTGCGGGAGGGTCTGGAGATTTCCTGGTGTCCTGGTCTGATGTGTGGGCTGTAGAGCCAGCGCTCCCTGTTTTTTTTATTTTTTGGATATTTTTATTAACAACATATAAATACAAAACACCGCTAGGGCGGAGGCTGCCAGTGCTCGCTTTTTTCTTTTTTCCGACCTGTCACTCAGTCCAGTATGCGTGTCAGCAAATGACCAATCAGTGACCTCCATTTGTCCCGAAGGTAAACGCCCCTTGTCTGTGAAGCTGCTCTGCAGCTGCTCGGGGTGTATGCTGGAGTATCATGTCTGAACCCTCTGCGTACAGTACATGCGTACGTACGCATGAACGGACATACGCGGCAGTAAACTGGAGCCTTAACTTCCACAATTCTCTCCCAGATCTTCATTGTGTGTCTCATCAACTTAATTGTCCTGTATTTGCCACAACTCCATACCCTTGTTATTAAAAATGGGCACCAGCACACTTGTCTGCATTCCTCAGTTATTTTGTCCCTCAAAAAAAAGCCATTGAACAATCAAGTAAAAAAAAAATAACTGCCCCCCTCCTAGACATTTCCATAACTCATCTGGTATATAATGAGGTTCAATTTCCTTTCCATTCTTTATCTGTTTCAAAGCTTTCAGAAATTCATCCTGTTTTCACATTTTCCCACTTCCTGGTCCACAGTTTATATGACCTGTTATCCTCCTCCACTTTAATTATCTTAATTCATTATCACCTAAAAGTAATAATTTCATTCTACTGCCACACTATCCTTGCTTTTTAGAACATTACCATCTTTATCTTTAAAAAGCCTAACATGCTGCACATCCTTTTCAGCCTGATCCCTCTGTTTCACCAGTTGATTCAAGTCCTTCTCTTCCTTCTGTGTCCAGGCTACTGTGCAACTCATCATCACCTTCTGCTTTGCCTTAGCTACCTCCCTCTTTGTTCTACATCACACCTCATTGTATGCTTGTCTACTTTTTCAGTCCTCTCACTGTCATATTAACTCTTAGCAAAACTTTTCCTCTGGATAACATCCTGCACTTCACTGTACCACCACCAGGTTTCCTTATTATCTTTCCATTGTCCAGATGACACACTGATTATCTTCCTACATGTCTCTCTAGTCACAGTTGATGTAGTAGCCCAGTTACCGTACCTCTTTCTTACCACCCAGAGCCTTTAACAGGTCCTTTCTGAACTACTTACAACATTCTTCCTTCCTCAGCTTTCACTATTTGGTCTTTTTCTCTGACTATACTCTTTTCATCTTCTTTACCACAACAGTCATCATACACACCAATATCCAATGCTGTCTGGCCACACTCTCCCTGCCACAACCTTACAGTCCCCTAACTCCCTCAGGTTACCTCTTCAACACATAATGTTGTCGACCTGTGTACTTCTTCCTTCATGCTTATAGGTCACTCTATCTTCCTCCCTCTTTTGGAAATAAGTGTTGACTACAGCCTTTTCCATTCTCTTGGCAAAATCTACTGCCATCTGTCCTCTTGGTTCCTTTCCTTGACACCAAACCTACCCATCACTTCTTCATCTCCTCTGCTGCCTTCACCATGTCCATTCTAGTCTGCTCAAGTCACCTCTGTCTCCTCCCTGAATACTCATCACTTTGTCTGGAGTGTTCCAGAATCTATATTTATCCTCTGTCACATCCAACCTGTGGAGTATAACAATTGTCTTTCTACTTCTACATTGAGACACCTGTCTGACAACTCTTTTATCTCTCCTATGTTCCTTGCAAACTCCTCCTTCAGGACCACTCCTATCCTGTTTCTCTTTTTATCCACACCATAGTAAATGCGCTTAAACCCTGCTCAAATGCTGCAAGTCTTGCTGCCCTTCCACGTGGTCTCTTACTCTCATAACACATTTACCTTCCTTTGCATCATGTTGGGGGAGTGGTGGCGCAGAGGTTAGAAGATGGGCTTGTGATCAGAAAGTTGCAGGTTCAACTCCCGGTACCGTCAACATCAAAATGTGTGTGGAAAAGGTGGAACACCCACACCTTTCTCCACCCTCATTCACCCCACCCTGGGTCCCTGAGCAAGGCCCTTAACCCCCACCTTCTGCTCCCTAAACAGGTCTCTCTTGAAAATGAGTTCTCATGACTCAATGAGACTACCTGTAAAGGGTAAATGAATAAAAAAAAAGAAAAAAAAAATGTTAGCCAGCTCTCTACTTTTGTCCCTATCTTTAGAGTTGCTATTCTCTGACTTTCTTCACTTTCCTCTTTTCCCTTTTGTCTTTTGACCATTTTTTTTTTTCTCCTCTGAGTCTTCGACTAACAGTAGCACAATTTTCGCTGACACCCTGTTTGTCAACAGCACCGGTGGTGGTGGTTTTTAACCTGGGCTCTTACCAATTTGTCATGGTGTCCCTTGGATGAACTTGCTTGTTTTAGCTAAGGTGTTTTATGCCAGATGCCCTTTCTGACACGACCTTCACCATTTACTCAGTTGTGGGACCAGCACAAGAGATACACAGGCTTGTGCTACCTAGTTAAGAAAGAGACACTATAAATTTGCGTGTCATCCTTGCGCAGGGGCCATGTAGGAAAAATTTTTCTAGGCTAAAATTCCAATTTCATTATATGTGCTACCAAAGTAGCACTGACTTTTTAATTAAATTTAAAATAAATTCCTAGTAGAGAGTATTGCTAAGTTTTATCCTGGAAAATATGTTTTAACGTTCTAACACATTTATAAATTCATATAAATATACAACTCAAATTAATCTGACATTTTGAATGTATTACTTTAACATTTCAAATGTAAAATTTGCTTCAGTAAGCAAAAATGTGCCATTTTCTTTTATTTTAAGTTGTTTTTGAATAGGTGAGCAGAGAGTGAAAGGGCCTTAATTTTATAAAGTTACACAGCGCACTATAAATTAAATGAAATAAAAGTTGATGGTGAATAAATTCTTATTACAAGTTCCATCCATCCATTATCTTTTACCCGCTTCTTCCATTTTGAGTCACGGGGGTCGCTGGTGCCCATGTCCAGCAATCACTGTGCGAGGAGCGGGGTACACCCTGGACAGGTCGCAAGTCCATCACAGGGCCACATAGAGACAAACGAGACAAACAACCATTCACTCTCTCACTCACACCTAGGGACAATTTAGAGTTACCAGTCTGCCTAACATGCATGTTTTTTGTCTGTGGGAGGAAACTTGAGTACCTAGAGAAAACCCACGCATGCATGGAGAGAACATGCAAACTCCACCTAGAAAGACCCCCCAGACCGGGATTTGAACCGGGGACATGCTTTCTGAGAGGCAGCAGCTCTACCAGTCATGCTGCCATGCTGCCCTTTATTACAAGTTAATTTTGTTATTCATTTATCTTACAAAGTATTAGTATTTTATCATTAATGGAACATTTTGTCTTTAACGTTAGGCCCCATTGTCCTTTGTGATCAGGAAAAGAAAGTTGCTTTCATATGACACATTGATATTATTAGTCAGGCTGGTCTAAATAGCTTTTTCAGGATTCATCACTAGGCCCCTGCCTGCCCATTGCAATTGTGCAATAAATTATCCTTTCTGACCTCATAACCCTTAATAAACAATTGTAATGAGTGTCTGGAAAGGCTATTTGAAGACATTAGTTTTCATTAGTGAAGTCAAGCAGTTCAGCATATGTGACTTAAAGAGGAATACAGAAAATTATTGTTGCACAATGCTGTTGCTGGTCAGTGTGTGTCCTGTGGGTCTTATTCCAGACCCCAGGCCCAAGCCTTGGAAGCACCCAGTGTGCCCCTCCCTAAGAAATGGTAACCCACACTATCAATAAATCAAGGAAACGTGAATTAAGTTTTACCAATTATATTAAATCAAGGCAGGACAAAAATACAGTAACAGTGCTGGCCTTTCCGATACAATTCAACGCGAGATCAGGAACCGGAAGGAGCGGATGTCCCGTGGTATTGCAGATTTATAGGCCCTAGACTCCTCCTTCGCAGAAGGGGAGCACAATCTGTCACATGTATGATGGGGAGTGACTAAGTGTGATCTCAAGGGATCTTAACTGGTTTAATGTGAAGGAAAAAATGAGACTATGTAGCAAGCTAAATGAACTCTGTTCCTTGACGGATATTGAATCCCTGGGAGACTCTTTTTAGAGTCTCTGGACCCGTTTAACCCAGTCAGAACCGGGTCATAATGTCATTATAATCCCATCTCTGAGCAGATCAAAAAACCCCAGGGTCACTCTAGATAATTTACTAACAATACCCTAATTTTTTTGTTATTTATTTTTATACCAATCAAATACTTTATTAATACCAAAGGGAAATATAAAGTACTTGGATTTTTTTTTTTTTTTTTTTTAAAGTGTAATCAATTAAAAAAAAAAAAAAAAAAATCTTCTTTTTTTTGTTTAGAAATGTGACCTGGAACAGCTTGGCTATCCCTGACACACATTGCTCAAAAGATGGAGAAGGCTACCAATGTCCTCATGGCTTCAAATGTGTGGATCTTCAAGATTTTGGACTTAGCCGACAAGAGCTTGGCTACAGTGGATTCAATGAACTGGGTATGCAAGATTTATTTTAATTTCTGGGTTAAAGTGAAATAAATTTACAAACATGCAGCATTCACTTTTTATCTATATTAAGAAAGCATACAAGCCTAATTTCATACAAAAGTTTCACAACCGCTACTCATTCAAAAGTTTATTTCTATTAAGTTTTGTCTAGTGCAGAATAATTAAACAGAGCCTTCTTTTTAATGTATCTACAGTATGTTCTGCTGAGAAAAATCTGTAAATCAGCTTTTGCTTGAAGTGTTTTTTTGTTTTTTTTATCTGTTGAAGTGGGGTTCTGGCCAAAGTTTACAAGTTATTCACATCTTACTTGTTGTAGATAATTTATTGAACAACCTCGTTATGTGGAAATAGAGTTTAAGTTTGGCTGAACTTATGATTTAATGGCCAATCAGAGCGAGTCCAAGACCAAATGAATTATTGACATCTTTAAACAACCCCAATATTAAATATTTCTTAACAGCTCATGCAAATAAAACCCTTAAATCACTTTCCATTGCTGTCAGTTTAGCATTAAAATGTTTATTTTATAATTTTACTGGTACATAAGATTTTATGGTTGTTTATATGTGCACATTCTAGCAACTAGCTGTAACATTTTTGGTGCAGTGTGAGGCATTTTCAGCAGGGATATAAAATTATTTACCAATGCTATGTGCAATGTACCTACTAGACATGCATAAGACATCATGTTATACTAATAAGTCTTCCAAACATAACTATATATGTCATGAAGTACAACTCAGCTTTTTGGTTTTTAAATGCAAGTAATGCAATGTTATTGCCACAAAATCATCATTTTATTTGGTTTTACTTTAATTACAAATACAAGAAAATCAAGCTGGCACTATACAAGGGTGTAGCAACACATCAGTCTGGAGGTGGTTTAGACAGAATTATTATCAATTGGTTGAAACAGCAGCATGTCTGCAGTGGTTCACATTAATCATAGTTAACACAACACTCATACCACTCTGTTCCATGCCATACAAAGGAATGCAACAACACCAGTATACAGAATATTCATATTGTGTAAAGTGAAAACAATGGGTAATATTCACAGATACTGTATATCACTTGGTTCAATAAAATAATCATATGACACTGGGTTAATTTAGTCTGTACCTTTCAAATAATTTTATGTATCTTTTTTGGTTTATGTTTTTATTTAGGTACAAGTATTTTCACGGTGTATGAGGCTGCATCACAAGAGGGTTGGGTTTTTCTCATGTACAGAGCCATCGACAGTTTCCCCCGATGGCGCTCCTACTTCTACTTTATAACTCTCATTTTCTTCTTGGCATGGCTTGTCAAGGTTAGAACATTCCTCTCTCAACTGCACTTTTCATTATCATCTAAGTAATTAGATGTATGTTCTAAAAGTTTAGGTTAATTCATATAATTTAATGTTTTACCTACAGGCATAATGATTTTCCCTTATTAGGATAACTTTTTTTGGGTTAATAACAAATGACTTCTCACAGACAGATAGACGAGAACTGAAACAACAGACTTGCTTGTTCATTTACTTTTAACTGTCACCTGTTTCAGTTTAATTCTCTCTGTCTTTTCCTCTGCAGAATGTTTTCATCGCTGTCATCATTGAGACTTTTGCCGAGATCAGAGTCCAGTTTCAGCAGATGTGGGGATCAAGGAGCAGTACCACTTCAACTGCTACTACACAGGTATAAATATCCCATTCACAGGACTGAAGTTCTCCATCACCACAACAGATTTCTGTCATTTTGAACATGGCCAGAATGGATTTTTGACATCTGTGAAAAGAAAACAAGCACATGTTGTTGATTTTTTTAAATTTTTTTTGTAGTGGTTTTGTTAAAATATTCTAATCTAATTATGATACTGGGATTAAACTGATGTCGCTTTCAAGAAATAAAGAGAACCAGAATTATAGTTTTACCCAGGAGGAGCAGAGCAGGGCGTGTCATGTTTCTGATGTACGGTGTGAGCAGGTGCAATCACCAATCGTTCCTCCAAGGAGGTCTTCACATGTAAAAAGTTATTAAATGTCTGTATGCGTTCAAACATGACCAGTGTGTCCTTATATTAAACATTATTAACACTAAAATACCTTTTTGTATCCCCCAGTTTATAGCAAATGTGTGTCTGTTTAACTTTGTGAGCGTGTCAGTTTACAGCATTTGTTATTTATAAAAATCAGCAAATTTCATTATTTCTACATTATTATTTTGGCTTTTTTTAATGTGCTAGGAAAAAAACGTAGAAATATTTATCTGTTTTTACTTTAATCTTAGCATTCTGTCAATTATATACAGTGTGTATATATATATATACTGTATACTGACTATATACTGTATACTGACTATATACTGTGTAGTGAGAGAGCAGAGAGATGGCTTCAGCTCAGGGGTGCTCCCTTACACTTTATAATATCTGGACTAGTTCAAGTACATGATATTATACTTAATTTAAACGGATTCTTTCATTTTTCTGGACTGAGTGATCTTGTGCTTAGAAGTACTGTGTCGGAGATGGTCTAATCAGTGACGTGAGACGTTAATTTTCTTTGACCCATCAAAATGAATGTGGTCATTTATTAACAGAATCAAAATTTAACATCAAACATTGTACACTTGATTATTTTGATTGATTACAATTAACACAGCTTAATTAATGAGCTTTACAATGAGAAATCATACGGCCATGATATCTCACTTGCAACTAATTACAACAGACATTTCTGAAAATATCTGGATTAATTACTGGCAGATAGAAGAGTTTTAAAGGTGGGAAAATGAAGGAGTTTGAATGGAGAGGAAAAGATGGATGAAGATGTAGGTCTGTAGACCAGAACGACACGCTCCCTTGAAGCGCAGTTCACCCGCGGTACACTGGTAGTGAAGCTCAACGACTCTTTACCTTGCAGAGGATGAATCCGTGGCGGTCAAGAGGTCTACTGGCACGCTACCTTTCAGCGTCTCCTCAGGGCGGCTGCGACTCTTTAGAAGTCGTGAGAACTAGTTCCACAGAACAAACCTCCTCAGAAGTTATGAAGTTTTCACCGGGTGGAGTCACAGCGAGGCATCGTGGCTCCTACAGGAACTCCAGCCGAACTCCATTAGTACCAGTCAGTTCGCTCCAGAACTTCAGTTCATCCCAGAACTTCGGATCATGTCTGGAACTTCTTGTTCTCTCCAGCAACTGACTGGAACTAGGAAGTGTCGACATTTAAAGAGTTCTGTTTCCGGTTCATTTGGGAAGTCCTGATTGGCTGAAAGAACCAACAGGGGTGTGGTTTTAGTGACGTAAGGGGTTACTACAAGTCAGAAAAACAGCAAAGATGTTTTAGGAACAAACAGAGAAATGTTTTGGCGAAGTGACAGAAAGCAGGTGCCAGCTCCTCTGTTTATGTCTGAGAGGTTTTAAAAACATGACAGTTCGTTCCAATAAACTTGTTTGCGACTGTCTCCGACTTTTGACCCACATCACTCCTTCTCATTTCAGACAGAAGATCAAAATGCATAATTACTCTGTACAGGCTTTTTAACTTGATTTCTACTTTGAATGAGGATTAAAAATCATTTATACTGTTTCACAGTTGATTTAAAATGAGTAGTTCACTTCAACATTTAAAAATGATTTGAACTAAACACACTTTGATTATCAAGATATTGTAAAATAGTAATGATAATGAAAAGAGAGTGTTCTTTCAATTGACCAGTGCAGGACACACTCAGAAAGTCTCTGGATGAGCTTAATTTGTGTTTCTGGACTCAAATCAATGAAATAACAGTTCCTGTTCCAGGAAGGCCCTCAGGGTCAGGTTTTTGACCTGAGGCTTAGTTCACTACAACTGTATACTGACTATATATGTGTATATATGTATATTTATATGTGTATATATGTATATACGTGTGTATATATATATGTATGTTTTAATGTGCATATATATATGTGTATATATGTATATATATATATACATGTATATATATATAATATATATATATATATATATATGTATATGTGTTTATATATAAGGGAAGTGGTGGCGCAGAGGTTAGAGAAAGTGGGCCTGTAATCGGAAGATCGGAGGTTCAAGCCCCGGTACCGCCAACATCAAAAATGTGGGTGGGGTAGGTGAAGCAGCCACACCTGCCCCCACCCTCATTCGTCCCACTCTGGTCCCTTGAAGAAGGCCCTTACATACCACCATCTGCTCCTTCTGGTGTCCTAGAAAGCAGCTCTCTGCTCCACACAGAGGGCTGTGGTAGCTCGGTGGTCTGTGGTTGCGTCAGGAAGGGCATCTGGCGTATAAATAACTGCCAAGTCTTTGTGCATATATACATTTATGGTACAGAGCTTTAGAACTTAGAAACATTGTTTAGAATATTGCAAGAATGTGGGAAGCGTTTAAAATGCCTTTATATATATATATATATATATATATATATATATTTACCCATATATCCATCCATCCATCCATCCATCCATTCTCTTCCGATTATCTGGGTCGGGTCGAGGGGGTAGCAGCCTAAGTAGGAAGGCCCAGACTTCCCTCTCCTCAGCCACTTGGGCCAGCTCCTCCAGGGGATTCCCAAGGCGTTCCCAGGCCAGCCGAGAAGCATAGTCCCTCCAGCATGTCCTGGGTCTTCCTCTGGGTCTCCTCCTGGCGGGACATGCCCGGAACACCTCACCAGGGAGGCTTTTTGAATCAGCTCTCTCTTCTCCACAACAGACCGATAGAGCGCCCGCTTCACTGCCGATGCTGCACCTATCTGCCTATCGATCTCACGCTCCGTTTTTCCCTCATTCATGAACAAGACCCGGAGATACTTAAACTCCTCCACTAGGGGCAGGACCTTCTCCCCGACCTGGAGAGGGCACTCTACCCTTTTCCGGCTAAAGACCATGGCCTTGGATTTGGAGGAACTGATCCTCAACCTGGCCGCATCACATTTGGCTGCAAACCGCTCCAGCGAAAGCTGTAGATCACGACCCGATGAAGCCAATAGGACCACATCATTTGCAAACAACAGAAGCGATCATAATGCCACCAAAACTGATCCCTTCAACACCTTGGATGTGCCTAGAAATTCTGTCCATAAAAGTTATGAACACAATCGGTGACAAAGGGCAACCTTGGCGGAGTCCAGCTCTCACTGGGAACAAGGCTGACTTACTGTCGGCAATGCGAAACAAGCTCTGACACCGGTCGTACAGGGACCTAACAGCCCGTATCAAAGGGCCTGGTACCCCATACTCCCAGAGTATCCCCCACAGGGTTCCCCGAGGGATGCGGTCGAACGCCTTCTCCAAGTCCACAAAGCACATGTAGACTGGTTGGGAAAACTCCCACGCACCCTCCAGGACCCTGCTGAGGGTGTAGAGCTGGTCCAGTGTTCCATGACCAGGACGAAAACTGCACTGCTCCTCCTGAATCCGAGGTTCGACTATCTGACGGACCCTCCACTCCAGAATCCCCTAATAAACCTTACCAGGGAGGCTTAAGAGTGTGATCCCCCTGTAGTTGGAACACACTCTACCGTACCCCTTTTTGAATAGGGGGACCACCACCCCAGTCTGCCAATCCAGGGTAACTGCCCCCAATGTCCACGCAATATTGCAGAGTCGTGTAAGCCAACACAACCCCACAAAATCCAGAGCCTTAAAGAACTCCGGGCGAATCTCATCCACCCCTGGGGCCCTGCCACTGAGGAGCTTTTTAACCACCTCAGTGACCTCAGCACCAGAGATTGGAGAGCCTGACCCAAAGTCCCCAGGCTCTGCTTCCTCAGTGGAAGATATGCCAGTGGGATTGAGGAGGTCTTTGAAGTACTCTGCCCACCGACCCACGACATCCCGAGTTGAGGTCAGCAGCACACCACCACCTCCACTATAAATAGTGTTGGTGGCATACCGCTTTTCCCCCCGAGATGCCGGATGGTGGACCAGAATCGCCTCAAAGCCATACGGAAGTCATTCTCCATGGCCTCTCCGAACTCCTCCCACGCCCGAGTTTTTGCCTCAGCGACAACCCGAGCCGCATGTCTCTTGGACTGCCGGTACCCATCAGCTGCTTCTGGGGTCCCACAGGCCAAAACGGCCCGATAGGACTCCTTCTTCAGCCTGACAGCATCCCTCACTGCTGGTGTCCACCACCGGGTTCGAGGGTTACCGTTGCGACAGGCACCGACAACCTTGCGGCCACAGCAAGGTTGTGGCCTTGACAGCATAGCTTCTAGGATCATTGGGACACTCAGACCCCTCCACCATGGTAAGGTGGCAGCCCAGGGAGGGATATATATATATATATATTAACATAAACTACTACTTACTACTTGTACTACTATTCCTACTTCACGGTTTTTCACTTATCGCAGGTCTTCAGGGTACGGTTCCCCACGATAAATGAGGGGCTACTGCATTAATTAATCAATTCATTCATTCATCCATTCATTCATTTATTCATTCATTCATTCATTCATTCAAAAAAGGCAGAATATACATATTTTGCCACATGACAGGAATGACAAAATCAAGCAATCATGCTCTACACTCCCAAGTTATTGTTTCTGTAAAATATCACAGCTTTAAGATGAATAAATAATAGTATTCGTGTAAGTAAAATTAAGAATTGTTATAACAACTGAAACTGGTGGGGAAGCAAAAAATTTTAGCAGTAAAAGATTTATTTTGGCTTTGGATAACTTTGAAAAAAGAATAGTTAATTTCTTAATTTGCTTACTTACTTATTTAGACTATTTATAGTAATGATTGTGTTTTACATTTGTTGCAGTACTTTAAGTCAGGAAAGATTAAAATTTTGTGTTTATTTTATAAGATTTTGAATTTTTTGTTGATTTTGTTTGTGTCTTAGAAACTGTTGGTGTAACAATTCATCAAAGGCAGAAGTAAATCTGATCTCTTGGTAAAATGCAGCATACAGAAAATTTAGCTGGAACTTTTTTATTGTTTTTGATGGCAAATACTATTTTGGTCACAAATTAAAATGACAAATGCCACTGGAGCTAAATCAGATCTGCTGCCTCTTTGACAGATTCAGTAAATGTAAAATATGTAGTTGTTGGCAAGTTTGTTTATGCTTAGCAACTATGTTTGCATTTTTTGCCAAGAGTACAAAATGAGATTAAATAAACACCACACAAGTATGATTGATGTCAGTATTAAAATAGTTCCAACAGGCCCATGTCCAAAAATGTAAATTAATTACAGCAAACTAAAAATACCTATCAATTCAATGCAATGGAATTGTAGAACAAATGTTTTATGAATTTACTGATCTGTAATTTGGATTTAGTTGTGTTCACAGTCAACAAAAGCAGCTATTTGAAAAATTGTGGGTTTTTTTTATTAAATTTGTCATTATTTTTTTTTTATTTTTTTTTATTATTATTTTATTTTTTTCTGTTGTTGGACAGTTTTGATTATGGCAATGTTGCACTGTTAATTGCAGAAGAGTTTTATGTGCCATCAACACTCAAGTCTCAAAAATAAGTTACTTGGATAGGCAAAATATAGAAGCTTTTTTACTTAAGTGATGAAATAAACATGTTGCTTCCCTGGCTGGCACACTGCTAAGACCTTGAAAACAATTATCCTTTTTTTTTAATAATTATCACAATTAATAATTATATTTTTGTCATGTGCCAATTTTATCATACAGAGAGGAATAACTAATTAAGTAGCTTTTCATAACACTTTACTGTCAGTCACAAAAACTGAGACAAAATGGAAAAACTTAAGAGCTGCAGGTGGACTATAGGAAGACAATCCCCCCCCCACCCCCCCCAACACTATCAACATCAAGGGTACTAAGGTGGACATTGTGAACTGCTACAAGTATCTGGGAGTCCACCTAGACATTAAACTGGACTGGACAGCTAACACCAACGCCCTCTACAAGAAAGAACAGAGTCGCCTTTTTCTTCTGAGGAGACTTGGATCATTTAACATGTGCAGGACCATGCTGCAGATGTTTTACCACTCTGTGGTCTCAAGCATCTTCTTCAATGCTGTGGTGTGCCGGGGCAACAGGGGGAAGAAAGCTGATGCCAACAGACTGGAAAAACTCATCAACAGAGCTGTCTCAGTTCTGGGAGTGAACTGCAGTCTCTGACAGAGGTGTCTGAGCAGAGGATGCTGAGGAAACTGCTCCAGATCCTGAACAACACGTCACCCCCCCTGCATGACACACTGGACTCTTACTGCAGCACCTTCAGTTGTAGCGTGGACTGAGACCACTAAGGTGCTCCACAGAACACCACAGGAAGTTCTTCCTCCCTGTGGCTATCAAACTTTTCAACTCCTCCCCCTTTCTACACATAGGATGATAAAAATTAATCAAAAATAAGGTACTTGGATAGGCAAAATATAGAAGCTTTTTTACTTCAGTGATGAAATAAACAAGTTGCTTCCCTGGCTGGCACACTGCTAACACCTTGAAAACAATTAGCCTTTTTTTTTTTTTATCATTATCACAATTAATTTCACAATTTCAATGTGCCAACTTCCATTTTGGTTTGAGGCTGCATTTTGGCATGAGAAAGGTCACTATTGAAAATCAGGTTGCCATATCAAAATCCAAGATTGATGTTCCCTTCCTGAGGGGTCATCACAACAAACCTACTCGCATGAAGATTTGGTAATTATGGCAGTTGGGCTTGAACTAGTGAACTAGTCTTGAACTAGCCATTTAAATAAGCCTGCAAGAGTTAAACTTTATTTTGCCAAACTGAGGCCTTTCTAGGAGCTGCAGTATCTACAGCAAAATACCAAACCGCAGAACCAGTGTTTGAGCTATTCCTTAAAATTAATTTATCTTTTGTTCTTATTTCTAGTGTTGTCTTCAGACATGAATACCACATTTAGAAGTAGGGATGGGGCCGATCCGATCCAGTATCGGTATCGGCCTCCGATACAAGCATAATTTACGTATCGGATTTTTCGATCCTCCTGCCGATATTTCCGATCCATGATGCATGTTGGCTTCAAACTACGGAATGGATTTCCTGAACGACAGCGTGTCTCATGAGCCCAGAGTAATAAGACCCGCCTCACATTCAGGAAATCCATTTCATAGTTTGTAGCCAGTTACAACGTGAGGGCTGAGTTAGCAGCACTGTGGCTAACAGCTAACCAACTTTTCATCTAAACATGTCCGCTGTGTGGAAGTATTTTACACTAGAAACACCACAAAGCAATGCAGCAACGTGCAATGTCTGCAGAGCCATAGCGCCACATTAAACCGCGGTAAAGTTAGTTTTATGATGGACGTTCGAGCTCCGTGGCTTCAGCGGGGTGCTACTCTTTGCTCAACCCGGGGCGGCCAACTTGACCCCCGCCAGCCGCATCCTATCTGCCCCGCTCAGTCTGCCCGTCTCTGAGGAGGGACAGACTTGTGCACAGCTGCCCCAAATCAGGCTGCTTGCTTCGGATTGAACAAGAAGAAGACGTCACTGAAACCACGGAGCTCAAATGTTTACAGAGAATTTGCTAAACTTCATCATAATTAATGACCAACCACCATCAGTTGTAGAAAACGAAGGATTTCACAGCTTGATACTTTGCAGCCAAGATATAGTTTACCCTCCAGGAGATATTTATCAGTACAACAGTAGACAATCATAAAAAACATATTTGAAAATTATATATATTAAACACAAAAACAGCTGCATCATAAAGTGATGTAAAATACTAAAAACAGGAACATATCTGTTGGTTTATGCCAGGTGTTTGAAGCCGTTTAACATTTTATTTAATTAATTTATTCATTCATTTAAAAGAAACAATAAAAAAAAACATCAAAAAGTAAACATTGAATGAAAAGAGTGCAGAAAGAAGAAAAAAATACTTATATCTGACCCTTATTTAAAAAATTATAAAATAATTTTAAACAATCACTTAAATTAATCACTTTAATATCCACTTTAAAACAAGGAATAAAAATGAACGTGTTTTGTGTTAGAATTTAATTCTAACTTTAAAACTTATCCAACATTAATACAACTTACCTCAAGTTGTCTTTTTGGACATGCATGCATATATTTGTACAAATTGTTCTTGAGAGGAGATTATTACAGCCTCATATAAAATCAATGATGATCATGATATCGGAACTGGATCGGTATCGGCCGATATTCAGACGTGGGTATCGTGATCGGATCGGAAGTAAAAAAAAGTGGATTGGTGCATCCCTATTTAGAAGCTGTTTTTGTGTGTGTGTGTGTGGAAATAATTTCTCTTTGTGTGTTTAATGCCTTGAAACTTTCTTTTTTAGTCACATATGCTTCATGATGATTTAGCCAACAGCATTAATGTGTTGGGTTTTTTTTAACAGTACTTTGAATAACCTCTTTTTGTGTTTTGTTTGTTTGTGTATGCTGCCTCTGTGCCACAGATGTTCCATGAAGATGCGGCTGGGGGATGGCAACTTGTAGCTGTGGACGTCAATAAACCACATGGTAGAGCGCCTGCTTGCCTTCAGGTAAACACAGCATTTAATGAATGTTCTGCTGCAAATGGGTACTTTTTTGTCTCACAGGCAAATTCATAATCCTGCATCTGTGTAATAGGAACAAAGTCTCATTATTCTTTTGACAGTTGACAAATACCAGCAGAAACATCTCAGTGCTTTTATATGCACCTTTGTCTACAGTTGTTGTATCTCAGTCTACAAATGTAAGTTATGGGATTTCAAATGAGGACTGTTTTTTTGATATGCTGATCTACAGTAATGACTTGTACTTGACGGATGCCACTGTTGCCTTGTTGATGTGCTTCAACATGCTTGGGCTTTAAAGATAATACTGAAAGCAGCAGATGCTGTTTAAGGCTGTTTATTGTGGTATGGTTTGGGATAAATGCAAGGGCCCTTGCTGTGAGAGACTGCCAGCAGAGTCTACAGCTACAAGAGGGAAGACAGCTGTCACCACACCCTCTTGGAGTAAATACTACTCCAGAGGTATAACAGCACACACACACACACTCTCTCTCTCTCTCACACACAAACACATGTGCAAGGAGAGACAGAAAAAATATAGAGAAACTGGATGCAGAATGATAGTGAAAATAGGAAGTGTGAGATTGTATTCCGATTAATGTAGTATTTCCCCAAGAGTCTTGTCTTCAGTTTGTGGGGGAAATTTAGATGGAGGGATAACCAGAGGGATAAACACAGCTGACTTTCCTCTGAGGCAGCACGGTGGTGCAACTGGTAGAGCTGCTGCCTCTCAGCGAGCAGGTCCCTGGTTCAAACCCCGGTCCAGGGGCCTTTCTGGGTGGAGTTTGCATGTTCTGTCCGTGCATGCGTGGGTTTTCTCCGGGTGCTCCGGTTTCCTCCCACAGACCAAAAACATGCATGTTAGGCTGATTGGTAATTCTAAATTGTCCCTAGGTGTGAGTGAGAGAGTGAATGGTTGTTTGTCTCGTTTGTCTCTATGTGGCCCTGTGATGGACTTGCGACCCGTCCAGGGTGTACCCCGCCCCTCGCACAGTGATTGCTGGACATGGGCACCAACGACCCCCGTGACCCAAAATGGAATAAACGGGTAAAGAAAATGGATGGATGGATGGATGGATGGATGGATGGACTTTCCTCTGAGGCCTGTAGAACAGTCACAGCCTTCTTTGTTTTCCTCTCTGTCATTCTAAATAGCTGTTATTGTCACAGTGCTGTAAAACAGAAGATATTTTTTGCAAGAACAATTAAACACTTTCAGAGAGCAACATTAGGTCATATTAAACCAGACAAGTACTGAGTTTAAAAAAGTGTTATCTTTGTTAAAAGTGTACTTGATATACTTTTTAATTAATATTGTACATAGCCAACTAGAACTAGAACTATTACAATAACTCTGATTTATATGAGCCCTGTGATGGACTTGCAACCCATCCAGGATGTACCCCGCCCCTCACACAGTGATTGCCAGACATGGGCACCAGCGACCCCCGTGACCCAAAATGGAAGAAGCGGGTAAAAGATAATGGATGGATGGATGATTTATATGAAAATCAAAATGATCTGTTACCTTGTTTTTTAATTGATTCAAGTCAGATTCTGTAGTTTGTTTGCCTCCATTGCAATCCTAATACCACAGGTTTACAAAAGCTAAAAAAAAAAACCTAAAGAAAATGGATGATTACACAAATCTGTGTTTATTCATACCATTCACCTTGAACTTGAAGGAACTTAGATGATCAATCAATGTGCAACGATTTTGAATATTTTGTTGTCAGTGCTATAAGTATAGAACTCTGAGCTAAAAAAAAAGCGTCATTATTGTCAGGATAGCTTAACACCTAGGCTTCCATATCAACACTTTGTGACATACCAAGTAGCTGCAACTGACACAAATAGGAAAATTATGTCTCTTTATTTTTATGTATTTATTTTTTGCTAATAATTTGCATGGAATGAAAAGTAAAATAATAAGGTAACAATAATTGACTAGGAATGTTCAGGGGTTAAAGCGTTATTGTATTTTTGTTGACTAGGTTTTTTGTTTGCCCTTTGTTTCAGATGAACTGTCTGCATTCTGTGACAGAGCTTTGATGTTTGAATAGCGCTGGCATTGACATGAATCATGCATCAAAAAGCCATGTGTTGGCACTCATTATCTCAAAGTGACAGCATTTTGTGGCATGTCAAGCCATCAAATTGCTCAAAAAGTTTTTTTGATTTCCTTTGTGTTGTCAAGAAACTGCATGTAATGATGACTCTGATGTGAGCAAACAGTTTAAAACAAATGGTATTGTGGCAATTACAGCTGGTACAAGACATGGACTGATTTTTGTGAAATCTTCCCTTATAGTGTCATGTTTGAAGGACATATAATACAGTCCAGTAATGTGCAACAGGCTATAATTAATGTGCAAAAGACTAGAATTGTGCATGTGACAGCGCTTCAGAGAAAAAAGCTCAATAAATGTTGTAGGTCATTTTACACCAGCAGCACATTGATTTTGATTTAAAACTTTTCATGTCAGGATCTGGTGCAAGTTGAACCCAATTGCAGGCAAGACGCAGGGGACTCAGAGGATGAAATAACTAAAACTGTTTATTTACAAAAACAAAAGGCTGACCTGGCAACAAAACTTACATATAGGATGAGGGAAGATCAGGAGGTGAGCAGAGACAGACCATGACACAATAGGAGGGTAATCCTCAGACATGGGAACAATAACAAGATGCAGGATTTATAGGAAGACTAATGAGGGGTAAACACAAACAGCTGGGGGTAAGTGACAGGTGAACGGCAGGTGCTAATTGCATGAGATAAAATACGAATGCAGGAACAGACCACAAGGGGGAGATGGTACACAAGGAAACATAATCCTCACATTACCCCCTCCCCAAGGATGTCCCATGACATCCCAAGACCCCCCCCCCCCCCCCCCCCACACACACACACACACACAACATGGGTGGCAGGAGGGGGGAACCGAGAGGATGGAGGTCACCAGGTAGAATACAAGGGAAAAGAATAGGGAAACCAAAACCCAACAGGACAAGTCTGGGCACTAGGAAAATAACACAATACAAAACGGCTGCCCAACACATGGCAGAAAATTCGGCGGGTGACCGGGAGGCCTCCCAGCACGTGGAAGCAAATCTGGCGGGCGGCCGGAAGACCGCCCAGTATGTGACAGCAAATCAAGTGGGCGTCAATCTCAGGGGAGGATCTTTGCCATAGGCGAAGGGATTAGGAGGTGGTGATTACACCTGATTACAGGTGGTGTGGAGATCTGAGGAGCTTCAGCTGTAGACACCGTGGGAGCAGTCATAGACACCATGTTAGCTGTTGTAGACACCATGTGAGCTGGTGTAGATGCCGTGGGAGTTGGCATAGACACTTCAGGGGCAGGCGTAGAAACTTCAAGCGCAGACGTACAGACTTCAAGTGCAGGCGTAGAGACTTCAGGTGCAGGCATATAGACTTCAGGTACCACAGCTTTCAAAGAGAATTCAGGCGCTGTGGCTGTCGTAGAGTCTTCAGGTGCTGCAGCTGTTGTAGAGACTTCAGGTGCTGCAGCTGTCGTAGAGACTTCAGGTGCTGCAGCTGTCGTAGAGACTTCAGGCACTACAGCTGTCAAAGGGACCTCTGGGACTGCAGTTTGCATAGGGATCTCTGGGGCTATAGTATGCATAGGGACCTCTGGGGCTGAAGTAAGCATAGTAGGGATCTTGATTACTGCAGGAGGTGTGGCCACCTCAGGAGCTGCAGAAGGGCACATAGTCACCTCAGGAACTGCAACAGGCGTAGCTACTTCTGGAGGCATGGAACCTTCTTGGAGAGAGTCAGAGTTTCTTTATTTGTTATTTGCATCACATGTGGTACATGTAGTGGAACGAAATTGTGTACACAGGGTCTCAGTTACATGACACAATAGCAAGATTATAGTGTAAAAAGAAACAGTAAATAAGGATCTCATATATAAACTAAGATAGAACAAGCACCAAATGGTACGCTAAAGATCTAAGATATATACCAGTCACTAATAGTGCAAAACAATACACCAAACAACAGCAGCATGATTCTCATAGGTTCTGTTCGGCTATAATTTACACCCTTAATGCGAGCACTAACATAAACTAAACTAACATAAACTAGGATTTATTCAAAGCATGCAACAAAAATGAAGAAACAAGGCGCCAAAAGTGAAAAAGAAATAAATCTACAGCAGCATGATCCTGTTGACAGAGTGGCTCTGATGGCAGTGAGGTTATCTTAACAACATGATCCAGTTAACAGCATGATATTGTTAGCAGTGAAGTTCCATTAGCAATGAGGTTTCTCAGCAACATGGTCCCGTTGGCACCGTGGTCCCACTGGCATCATGGTACTTTTAGCGGTGTGGTATTATAAGCAGCGTTAGCAGGTCTTTTTAGCAGGTCCCTTCAGCAGCTTGATGATAATAAGGACAGCAGCAGCTGCCTTCCAGACTGTCCTCCAGAACCAGGTCCAGCAGACAGAGAACATCCAAGGTTCCCTCACAGAACCAAGCTGGTCCGCAGAGTTCCATCTGATCAGGAAGATGGAGGATCTTGTTAGCAGCATTAGCAGGTCTAGTTAGCAGGTCCTGTCTGCAGCCCGATGGTAACAATGACTGCAGCAGCTGCCCTCCCAGACAGCCCTCCAGAACCGAGTTCGCAAGACGGAAAACATCCAGGTTTCCCCGCGGAACCAAACAGGTCTGTAGAGTTTGGTTCATGCAGGCAGATGGAGGATTTTGGAGACAGCCAACATGACAAGACTGAGCCCGAGGCTGGAAGGACTGAATCAAGATGGTAAGATGGCACATGGCAAAGCAGCGACACAGAAAACTCCATAAGTGTGTCGCAGTCATACCCGTACTGTGGATGAGCACTGTAGGCGCAAAAAGGCTAAAACAAAAACAACAGGAACAAAAAAAGATAGAGGTCACCGTGAGCCTGGGAAGCTGCAACTCGGCTGATAGTGGCTATCAAGCCTCCAGTAGGCATGG